CTCCCTACAATAACTCATAGATGAGCTTGAAAATCTGTTTATAATTAATTACCCATGTTGGTGTGAACTGCGACGACTGTACATAAATTTGACAACAATGTGATCCATTTATGTTGCCTTTTAAGCTGATTAGGATTAGAAATACTGGGAGACGAAGGTACGATGACAACAATCGGATTTCCGGGTAATTTTCGAGGCCTAGTTTGTACAAGACTGCTAACGAAAGGGTCCCATGGTCGTTTTAGCAAGTGAAACAGGCTTTCGTTACTTGTCGCGCCAACTCGGCTATTCGCATTTGGACCAAACATCATTTTATCCACAAATACAGGAAGTTTTGATTTCAATGTCTACAACCAAAGAATTAAAATTGATTCATTCTATTTTATTCAAATTAAAACATTTTAAAAAACTACTCACAATGCGGAAACCGTTATAGTGTCACAGCTTATAAAATTATACCTCGAATTATACGTTTTAATTGTTTTCTTCCCAGCCCCAGAATTTTTCAAATTTTGAAATTCCAAACGCCTGTATGTCAACAAGTCTCTTTAATGAAATGAAAAAATTTGAGTTTCCAAAAATAATATCCTCGCCTGCCGAAATCACTCACTTTTTCAAAATCTTTTATATATTTTACAGTTTTGGTCCCTTTCATTTTAATTTGGCCATAAACTCTATAAGAAGTACCTAGAGCAAAACGATGCAAGTTTTTAGAGTAATTGGTGGTGTCCATCTATCTATGGGGAGGAACTCAACGTGCAGTCACCTCCTCGTGGTCAGTTCTAAGTTGTTTTTTTTTAGAAAATAAACAAGCTACTTAAAACCTGCATTTCATTTTTTTACAATTCCAAGAATTTCGTTTTTGTATAGTTTTCAAGATCATTTCGGCACCCAAAGAAATACTCCTAAAATTTCAGATTTTCTTACCTACTCTCTCGCCTACTCTATTGAGTAGCATTTTTTATTACGAAAACAATGATGTACGGCACACACACAAAAAACAAAAGTTGGAAACTGTTGGTTTCAACAAGATGATGCAGCCGCGCACATCGCCCTAATTGTGCGAGAATACCTATCGGGCATATTTTCCATTTCCCCAGAAAATGCCCAATAGATATTCTCACACGGATTATACTGTTGTGCGCGAGAGCACCATCCTGTTGAAACCAACAGTTTCCAACTTTTGGTTATTTCCTTGCTCGTTTCCTTGTGTGTCGTACAGCATTGTATTCGTTATATAAAATGCTACTCAATACAGTATGTACTTTTTTACGAGCCATATAAAAAAATAAAATTAATGATTTCTCTGAAACGAAACGTTGTATTGAAAATCTCTTAACGCTTTCTTGTAAAGCTCAAAAAGTGGCAATAAGAAAATATGTTTTATTTTTTTGTATCTGTATAATAACATCAGAAAAAGATAAAAACGTTATCTGCAAATTTCGATTTTTTCAATATATCTCCGGAAGAAATCGAAATTTTTCGGTTTTCTTTAAAGCATGATAATCAGTGGCGGCCCGTGGGGTAGTGCCACTGAGCCATGGCACTACCCTCCATTCCGCTCAAAAATATTTTTTTATTTTCGAAATATTTAAATTTTCTTTTAATTTCCTTCAAAAATAATAAATAATTTAAAGTTTGGCAGCCGCATTCAGCGCTATACTTACAGTACACATCAGCCACCCGCGATGCATCATCAATATAAGCCATTTTCACTTTGGCTCGCTTGAAGAGAGAGATAGATTTTAACATCTCATGAGAGCGACAAAGATCTAGGCGCGTCGTAGCACACACATTACGTATACTTAAACGGAAAATTAAACCGAAGCTTGTGCCTGGCTCGTCCTTGGCAATCATTTGTTTGTTTGGTTTTGAACGTGATTTCTAGCGAGTTGGCGGTTATTTACGTAGAATATTACCCTCATATGTAATGTAATAAATACCATATGAAGCAGAACCGGGAAATTATCTCTCAATTCAATTAAAGTACAGTGAAGTTTGCCGGCAGGTCATAGATCCCGGCGATAATTCCCATATAGCTTCCGTATCTATAGTACTTATAACAACGCAAAATAATTGCTAAATTAGTGTTTTTAATTTTTTATACAAGTGCTTATGCCCAATTTGACACAAATTAAGTCGCAAAAATGTCACACTTTGAGGGTAATTTATCAAAAAGTAGCTAAATTATTCAAGTAATATTCTCTCGAATTACACTCGTTAGTCGTACTTCATCAAAAGTAGACCTGATAATTTTTTATTCAAGCATATTGTCAGTAAAAAACTGCATTACAATGTTAAAAACAATATTAAAATAAACTCGTGCAGTTTTTAGACATGCTTTCAAAAAAATTATCGGTAATTTGCATACACGTTTGTATTTAATTACTTTTGATGATAGAGAAGTACAAGCGTAATAATAAATATTTTCAAAATGTGTCCAATTGTCAATTGAACATCGTTTATTTAGGATTTTAGGTATGGGTTATTAATTACTAGAAAATTCTGGCACTCCCCTACAAAAATCCACGAGCCGCCACTGGGTCATAATACAATAGCCCAAGTTCCTAAAAAAAAAACGCAATCTTTCTAAACTTGGCAAATAGCGATAAATATACCGGACACTGCTTTCGGCGTACGGCTGATACAAAATTAGCAAATGCCGGTGGAGGAGTCCTTCAACTGAAGCAGTTGGGTGGCTGGAGATCGACTGCGGGAGCAGAAGGTTATGTCGATCAATCGCTTCACGGGCAAGAGATAATTGCGACAATTTTAGCATCCTCTTCATCGACGTCTACATATGCAGGACTGTCATCCTTTGCTCTTCTCGTGGATTGACACCCAATGGTTCTACGGCCAGACAAGAATTTAACTTTTCTACGGAGAAATCTAAAGGGGGGCTAATTGTAACAATTAATAATAGCGGTAACTCTAATGTAGCAATTGATTTTATTAATTCAAGTTACCGGTCAGGTAATAAACAGTTTTTTTTTGTTTTGTTCGTATTGAAAGCATCCTACTGCACATTTATGGGTTATGCAATGAAACAAGAAAAAGAAACACAGATCATACTGGCATTAAGTTAGTCACAAGTCAATTAAACTAGGAAGTAATCTGTGGACTCTCATTGTGTTGCTTCGTTTCCATTTTTTTCAACTTTTTCGACTTTGTTGGTTTATTTGGAATTAAAACTTACAAAAAATAGCAAAGATAAAAAAGTTGTGTTTAAAATGTGGGTTTGTATAATTGGTACCTACTGTGTCAATCGCGCCAGCGCCATCTATTAGGATACTACCAACTAAACTGAGGTTAGTAATGAATATTACTACACTCGAGAATCTACTTTCCTCCCTCCTGGAAAAATAAGTGTTGTAAAATACAACTTCCTCATCCTTCAAAATGACAATTATGAGACTGATTACAATATAATCGTGAGTAACGTGAGTAAAGTTTATTACGGCAGTTTCTTTTTTTCAAAAAACGTCATCGATTATATTCTATAATGAAAAATAAACTTCAGTCTTTTAGCAAACGGATTTCTGTTCTATCGGTGTATAAAACGTCCTACGAACCTTGCATACCTCATTCAGAGTGCACGCCCCGGAAAATAGGGCAATCAAAAGTGAAACAAGAAGCAAATTATTGTACAGGTTACCTTCGTTCAATTAAATACATTACAATAAATTAGGTAATAAGTCTCAAAGCAACGCAGCGACGTCAATTAAGAACCTACTCCTTAGAGAAGAACTCTTCCTCAGTTTAATTGATCGTTACAGCGGAATGTCCATTGCCATCCGTAATTATTAACTATTGTAATAATGTATTTGTTAACATAATCTATACCTTTTTGCAAGGTGAATTACGTAACGCAAATGACATCTTCTGCATTTAAAGTTTACTTTGGTACCGTTAACTTGGAAAAATTTTCAATTTTGAAAGTAATTCATTGCAACTACGTGTGAAATAAGATGCATTTTAAATTGGCTCAAAGTCGAACTGATATCAAATGACTTGATTCGTTAATAANTCCTGTAGGCGTGGTCATGGTGGTCATTTAGCTGATGTTATTTTCCATTTTTAACGGCATACCTTCCTCTTTATAATGTAATAAATATCCGATAATTTATCTTAAAAAACAGCATTTTCCTTTGAATATCAAAATAACACCTCTTATTGGAAAACCCTTTATAAGCATGTACCTCGATATTTACTGAACGCATTGCTAATTGTTCCTCTTAAGCAAATAATGTAAGTACAGGTACTAACCTGCAAAATATCAAAATATGCCCCAAGATAAGACGTAGTTAGATTATCCAGTAGTAGTTGATGAAGCCATTGTGTTAACCTAGAATTCCACGAAACGGTAGCAAACAAATATCTCACTCGTTTTACAGCCTTATCAATTGCAATACGGCGTAAGATTGGTTCGTGATATGCACTAGTATGTGCCAATCGTGCAAGGCGATCGCTATTTAATATTTTCACCATACCATTAAATAGTAGGTTTTGTGAAAATGTCCAATTTGTTCTGTAATATTCCCGATAGATAAAAACATTATTACATACTAATAGCATACTTTGAAATTGTGTCCTCCCAGTTATCATTTCCATCATCAGAACGAGCATATGAAGCATGTCGATTACATTCTTCCATAAGAGAAATTCCTTTTTCTTTATCATATTGTTCTGGTAGGTCTGCAGGTACTGATTCAACATCAATAAGATCATCAGTGTCATCAGTCAGCTGCGGTGCCAAAGGATTTTTGGATTTTATAAGATTTAACTCCTCCGGTGTCATAAACAAAACTTTTGTTGGTTGAAAAAATGAAGACTCAGCGGTCCAGTTTAAGGGTCTTGCATAGCAATGATCCATTTCGATAGTTTCCCTTAACTTGTTACTTTTGGAGGATAAGTTTTTGTTCGTAGTGACCGTCGCAGAGTCTATTGCCGGAATTATACAGTGAGTAGTAGTTGAAAAAGTGTTATAACATACACTTCTATTTGCACTTGTAGAAATCTAAAAACTATGCCTATCAAAACAAAATAGTCCACCAAATTGTTTATAACACAAAATTAACAAACACAAACCACAAGTGATGAATCATTAGAAGAACGCAAGGACGGTTTCAAACATTCGTTTTTAATAGAAGCATTTGCAAGCATTATTGAATAACAATAGCAACAATTACTTTTGTTTTTATAAAACAGATACTTTGATTTTTGAAAGTGTAATCAAATTTTCCAAATTCTAACCATAAAAACAAAACTCGACACAAATGGAATTCGAGTATTCGACTTTCGAGCTTCGTACAGTACCGGAATGATGTACAGTGTGGTCCATTAAGTGTGACTGTGAAACAATAGGAATTTTTTATTAGCTGCCGCCATTGTCATTGTTTAAATAATGTATTTAAACAATGCTGCAGCATTGATTATAGGTATGTAGTTAGTGTGTATAATCAATGACTGCAGTCAAAATCTAAATACCGTGAAAAGTTGGTGGATGTTCGATAACCATTTTACATCATGCAATTAAAATGACTCAAACGGTATACAAGGCAAGCCAAAAGATAAAAAATTTGCTCAAGAATAATTTGTAAAGGCTGTATTAACACGATGCAATTGTTTATTGCTTCGTGTATTGTCAAAATTGCACGTGCAAGTTTTTGCTGAAAGACATTGTGGAATTTTTTTGTACTATATATATTGTTTTTTCAATAGGTATATAATGGGATCCTCCGTTGATAGCCGCCTCTCGAATTTCTACTCCATTTCATCAAAAGCTCTTCTGACCCTAACTTGCAGTTCTTCACGAGAAACCACTGGTGTAACTTTATGTTTTTTATAAGACCCCCACACATAAAAGTCCGTTATATTTGGAGATCTAGAAGATCAATAGCGCGGATCTATAGGCCTAATCTACCTTAAAAAATGTTCAAATACATATAAACATGGGTAGGATGAACCCAGCTCCGTCTATAGTTGAAACCAGTAGCTTTTCCCAGGTAAAGTTTCCAAGGATGGTACAATATGTCATCTACTAACGCGTTTATTTCAAGGTCTCCTACGAAAATCATGCATATAACGGTCACAAGTTTTGAAAATATTAAATAAAACGAAAGCCATAACATTTAGGTATAGGGCATGTAATAATTGATCGATGTAGAATTTTTTCCACATTTGAAAGTGCAAAAAAATAAAGGAGGTTTCATTTGAAAAAATCAACTTTTTAAGGTTCGAAGTTATTATACTTGACCATTAATTTTAAAACGCCCTGGGTCATCAAAATTTAAATCACTCTCTTGTAGCATCACGTCAGTATTGTTGATTTTGAAATGCTTTTTGAAATTGAAGTTAATAGAGCCATAGGTACAGGGTGCTAAAGAAAAGCAGTCAAACGTCAACAATTTTGAAAAATCTTGAATAACTTGAAAACCTTTGATGCTAGGTATAGGGAAATGTGGTATAAATGACGTAAATTTTGATGTAGATTTCGAAAATGCAATAAGATATAGAGTGTTCTATGTAAAATAAGAAAGTTGCTGTCCACTTCCGGTTGTGACACGATTGTGATAATATTTTCTTTCGATAGATCATGAAAAACTATGTTGGTATGCAAATTTTGAGATTTAAATTATTAATGGAGGTTTAAATCCTTTTAGGTAACGGTTTGCGTGAAACGGCCTATATAGGTACCTACGGTTAATGAATTATTATCAATTGAATTAATATATAGACATCGTCAATAAATGAAGTTTATTTCAAGAATATACAACTTATTTAACGTTAACATCTTTGATATAATAAACATAACTAATAATAAACATTTGAGAAACTATAAACAGAAAAGATATGTCTTAAATTTTGTATATAATTAATTATAATTTATTTTTTTAGACGATATGAGTTTTATACAATGAAAAACGTTAAGTAGGTACTTTATGCATAATGTGTACATGAATAAGTAGATAGAGGTATAACTTTACAATAGGTATTTTCAAACAATAAATATCTATCATATTATATGGTACTTAGATATAAACATGCTTATTGAAATAACACTTTTACATTTATGTTTAATATTATTGAACGCCTTCGACGAACGCCGAATCGTCTAAGGTGTGAAGCCAGTTAAATATCATCATATTTCTTTCATATTTTGACAAAGGTTTTCCGCGTTCTCTTTCAACATCTCTGATTGTAAGAGGCAAATTATTATTGGTTGTTTGCTTAACAACTTTTAGTACTGCTTGGTTGGGACTGTTTGGTGGGATTGATGGTTTAGGTACGGGAGTAGATCCTGGGACCGTTAATCGCGCTGCAGCTTCCTTTATAACGTTACATTCTGTCGCAGTAGAATTCGTTACAGGGGTTGATAACGACACCTCTAGTCTATCTAAGTTAAATTCACTTTGTGACAGTCTTTCCAATGCTTTGTAAGTGGTTAACAATCTTCGACGGATGTAATTTTGCCGCACCTGTAATGTTAAATGGAATTAGAGGGTGTTATATAATAAACATAACTAAGTCCTTACCTTTTTATTTACTGAACGTATAAAATCGACAGCCGTGAATGTAGGAGGTGGAGGAGTACTTGCTGGCGGTACTGTTGATGTAGAATGTCCACCATGCGGTGAAGGTAACTGGGAAGTTGATGCTATGTCTCCTACTGCTACCCAAGTAGAACACGATCTAGATGTGTGATCAAGCCGCACGTTCTCAAGCAAAAAACTAGATCTTTGCAAAGAATTAAGCGCTAACTCTGACACGGCGCTTCTAACTCCAGGTGCAACTGGTGCGTCTTCGGGTGACGGTAATTGACTGATATCGCTAGTACTAAAACTTTTTTGTAATCCTACTGCTGAAGATAAGGCCGCACAGTTACGGATTAGTTCCGTTTCTTCTTCAAACCACAATATCTCAGGAATATCTGCGGGTCTATAAATATCTGAACTTTAGCAGAGCAAACGTGGCATGAATAATTACCTGGCCGACTGAGCCCTGCTGTCGGGATTTGGACTGTGGCCTCTGTCAGATTTGCTAAAACTAAGCAGCCTACGGCCTGAGTGCAAGTCGGACGCCACAGACGATACCGAAAATAACGATAGATCAGTCGTAACCGATTCATGAGATGGCGACCGGAGTATTTTACACGCAACAGTTAATACCGGCGTTTGCGGTGTAAGTTGATTTTCGGAAATACTTTCAGTGGACGTCATCGTTCGATAATTTTTTTATTAAATAATATTTGGGTATGTAAACAAACACAGCATTTACACGGTTACATTGCAACTGCTACATCACATACACCCCGGGCGTCGCAATCAATATTGGCGAGTCTGGTTAAGCGCGCCAAAACAAGCGTCGCGACGAAAGTTTAAAATATTGTGTATACCTAAAGCAAATTGATCCACATTACATTGAAGTGTGTAAGTAATAAAATGATCTGGAAAAATTAAACAAAAAATCTTTGACTTTTTCCTTGTTATATTAAACATCTGTACATATACCTACGCGTTTTCCCCTTCATAGCATACAATTGGCTACGTTCGCATTTAAATATTGAATATTGAATGCCATGAGAATGATTACAAACTCCAATCTTGTATTTACTTTGGCGTCCACCTAAACTGAATTTTCTGAATTATATGGGTAGGTATAGCAAGACATGCAAATAAGTTGCTCCACCCTTAAACGGTATGGCATGCTATCAATCAAGTCGTCATCAAAATCGGTCTGCATCATACTCGTATTACACCAAGCTTCCTGAATATTCGTAATCGAAAGCTCAAAAAAGTCGCCTGGAGGAGGTGGTGTCAGGTCAATCAGTCAGAGTTTTACCGAGCATATCCCACCTGTATTCAGTTGTTTACCTAAATTCATTAACATAAACGTCCGTAATAAATCAATTTGTGCTTGTGTTGCGCTGATTTGTGCGCTAACCTTCATATCATGATGCGTCAAAATTAACAGAGTAATATGCGGATGCGGAATTTTTAATTTGGGGTTACAATTTGATCTGATGAACCTTTGAATAAAGATAGATATAGAGATAGATATATTGACTTTATAATCAAAGCTAAGAACAAAGATTCCGAATCTGATCTTTTCAGAACTGCAGACCTGGCTGAGGAGAAGCGGGGCTAACACCTTGCCAGGCACCTTTCAAAGTTTGAAAAAATAATGTATGCCCATGCCCAGTCGAGTATCTGATAGCGTAAGAAGCAGAGTGGATGATCTATACGTTATTAGTTCATTTGAATTAGTTGTAATTGTATCATGTTGAAATTTTGATGGTCTCTTATTCCGAAATAAAGACAATTCTCCTGAAACTTTTCGTCAAAAGTGATCAAAGTACACTATACTACATTCATTATAAGAAGGTAGTAGATGGCGCTATGTTTGAAGATAAGCACACACAGGAAAAATATAAAACGGCACCAAATTATTGTAAAGTAGAAATATGCAGCACTGCAAACAGAAATAAATCTTTGACATTAACAGTTAATGACACATGACACTTCTAACAGTTTAGATGGCAACATAAACTACCAGCTTGCAAAATTCGCCACTCGTTTTCCGTTTCAGCGTAATACTGACTTGTGTTTTAACCAATCACACTGAAGGTCAAAGCTTCCCTATGCTTTCTATCGCTACCTTCTTAAAATGAATACAGTAAGTATAGGGGTTCATGTAGTTATTGCGGTCGGTATACACATGCAAATCAGGAGTCCCTTGGCCCTGCGTCATTGATTTGTGAATCAATTTCAGACAAGTTTTTTATCGATTTCGCTCACTTGATAGTTGTTATAATGTTTTAGCGTATGTCTGAAATTGATTCACAAATCAATGACGCAGGGCCACAGAATCCTGATTTTAAGTGTACATTATTTTTTTCAAACTTTGAATGCGCCTGGCAAGGTGTTAGCCCCACTTTCCCTCAGCCAGGTCTGCAATTCTGTGTTTGGGTATTATTGAAGAAGTAGGTACCTATTGGACAAGTTTTCAGCGTGCCTAAAATACCTACCCAAAAATGTCCACCGGCTGGCGGATGAATAGTTTCACTTGACTGTAAACATTGGGTAAGCATTGTCATATCATTTCTTGAAATTGATTTGCATCCATAATCGAAAGAAAATTTGATGTTTACGTACGTGCGTTGACTATTAGAGCTTTTATTTCGAAAACACGGCACTTATTTTTAACATAGTCAATAGACTTATTTTAATCCTCGTCGCCAGTTTTATAATTTCTTGATGGTAAACACAAGAACATAACAAGGTTTCTTTATTAGAACTGAAGTAATGAACGAACAAATTATATCTACATACGTTATTTATTATGATAATGATACATGCGATGCGTAACTACTGTATTTTTACTTTTTTCTTCTATTCCTAGAGTGCATGCTTATTATATAACATAGCGCCATATTTATCTTACCGATATGGATATCATATTTAAAAGGGAATAGTTATTTACATTTAACAGAGCCGGAGATATAAGATATTACGCCCGCGGCTGAAGTTTGAGGCCCAACGAAGGAGGGTCTTTATGAGGCCAAGGTCGTAATCTTCCTCCGGTCCTAGGCATGTATACCTACAAAATTTTACGCACAACTACAGAAAACCTACAAAATTTAATGAAAAATGATTAAATACATTCAATGAAAAAATACAACAGTGATTTAAGTCACCGCTCGTCACCTAGGATACTTGTTTCTAAGGAAAAAACAAACATTATTATAAATCAAAAATTTTCATAATTTCGGAATGGAAGTCAACGCTGAGCAAATTCCCTCTGAAATATGATGAAAATTAATTGAGACTCAAAAAATGTTTATTTTCTAACGGCTATCGATTTCGACGAGAATAAACAATTTTTGAGTCTCAATTAATTTTCATCATATATTAATAATCACTCAACCAAAAAATGGAGTCCTTCATCAACAAAGTCCCTCTGAAATATTATACTCCAGGGAATATAGGGTTTTAACCTGCAAAATGAAAAGTAGTTCCAATTTCTTTTGCATGTCATGTCATCTGGTGGTTAAGAATCTAAGTTTTCAACCTACCATCCCTTGTGCTTCCCCCGTACCACCCCCAAAACCCCTGAAATTTGGTTGGTTTCTCAGTGTGTCCATGATATCTTTAGAATGGTTCACTTTAGAAAAAAATATTGTTATCAGAAATTGTACCTAGATCATGAGATTCTACATAACTTTGATATATACAGTACTTTTTTGTGAAATGTTTATTAAAAAAAGATATAGAGCTTCAAAGTCGCTTATATTTTTAAGAATTCTGAAATTTCTATGTACCTAGATGTTTTAACCAATTTTGATAGTTTATCTCTATAATCAAAAGGCTCCCCTTCACGTGCAGTTTTATGTCAGTTTTGGACTGACGCTCCTTCAGTTAAATCCAAACTCGCACGTGAAGGGCTTAAACATGCCAGGCGTGCTTCAGTTGCGGCGCGGAGCGAAGAAATCAAATCGTACTAAATTCCTGGCGCGAACTGACATGGAGCGACAGCAAGATGTGAGCATGTAGATGCGGCTCAGTTCTCAAATCGGGATTGACACAATATGACAAAGGTGGAGGTAGTACGCTTAAGGTGTGCAAAAGAGAGATAGCTTTAGTAGAATGTAATTGATGAAATTTAGAATCGGTAGTCTTATGTTTCCCGGGTTTCAGGGGTTGTTTAATTTATCTCCTTTAACAAGTCAATGTGTATGGTTTCATTTCTTCTCAGATACCACGGTTTCAACCAATACTTTTTTCTCTTTGTTCTTACTTCCCTTTCGTCGTCCACCAGCAACAAAAAAGCAATTGCTTTTCTCTTCTTCAAACTCATTCTTTAACAGCACTGTTGCACTACCAGACTCAGGAACAGAATAAAACTGGAATAAATTAAAAATCAAGCGCGAACGTGCAGATGCAACGCATGTCACACATCGGGAGCGCGCGCAGGAATTCAATCAGGGAGCGAAGATAAGAACTGCACGTGAAGGGGAAATAAGAGTTTTATGAGAAAATATCTTGAACCATTGAATAAAATAGTGTTTTTATTCAATGCTTGAACTTATCCCCCCCACCCCAACGTTAAGGTGAAATGGCGCCACTGTTAAATTATTAGATGGTTTTAGGAGTGTTTAAATCTGTGGTTTTAGTTCCCAAATCCCGGAGCATTAAAGTTGTAATGCCATGCAGGCTTACTCTGGTATCAGTTAGATAAGAGACCTTTTGTCGACCTGAGAAATTCCAAGACAATGGGGGTTAATTCGAATTATGAATTTAGAAATATTATCCGCCAAATTAAGTAAGCGTAATTAGCGGTTTCAAAAGAAGCGCTTGATCAATTAGATTTTTAGGATGTCGGCACAATTGAAGTTTTCATTTTTTTATGTATATAACCGAATAGGCTGCGTCCGCGTGGCGAAACGATTTCAATGACAGTTTAGTTGGCAACAGACTACCAGCTTACAAAATTCGTCATTCTTTTAATTTTTGAGCGTAATACTGACTCGTGTTTTAACCAATTACAGTGAAAATCAAAGCTTTCCTATACTCTCTACGGCTACATTCTTAGACTGAATAGACTATAGGATTTTTTTGTCGATGAACTCTTGATTTTTCAATTTCATCTTTTAAATAAAAGAACCAGCAGGTTGGATGAAATTCAAGGAAATTTATTTTTTTTTTTTATATTATACAAATCTCATTGAATTTCATCCAACCTGCTGGTTCTTTTATTTAGACTATAGGACTTATAGACGATTAGCAACTGTTTTTCGCACACAAGCTCGTGTAGGGTTGATAAGGTGGCATATTGGTTGCCTAACACACGGCCGCACATCACAAATGACCATAAGTGTACAAGTATAAATTTATTATGCTATAATATTGTACAAAGGAACAAATGTACAAAATAACAGAGAATAAAAACGCAAAACACACCTATGTTACTAATAGACAATGTACGCAATTAAATCAGTCACTTTCCCACCGGTTTCAATAGTTTAAAGAATTTTTAACATAATTTCTAATCTAATTTAGAGTGTACTTTGCAAATGATAAAATTAATACAACTCTTAAATTAGATGAAACTTTTAACCTGTTGTCTCTATAGGTTAATGCCACTTCTTAATCTATTAATAGTTCATCACATTTCAACTACTTCTGGCACTTAATTCTTCTCCTCCTTTTTCTCTTTCTCTTCCGTTTGTTCTGAAGATGTGTTACTACTACTGCTTTCTCGTTCCGCTGCCATCTATTATACAAAATTAGTACCTAATTAGAGATACAACTAAAGTTTACCTTTTTGTATGCCATTTCGAATAGTTTTAGAGATGACTGTTGAAGTGTGGTGGTTGTTTTGCGGATTTCCTCAGGATCTGCCTCATCCTTTTTGGACAATAATTCCCTAACTTTTGCAATTTCTTCTTTAAGCTTTTCACACTAAGGAAAAAGCAATAAGAGATGATTTTATCAAGAATAAGTAAGTACCTCTTCTTTAGGCAGCTGCTCTTTGAACTCTTCCATTTTTGTTTCCGTATCATGTACTATACCTTCCGCTTGGTTAATTGCTTCTACACGATCCTTTTTAATTTTGTCAGCTTTGGCATATTGTTCTGCATTCTTCACCATATTTTCTATTTCGTCCTTACTTAAACCGCCAGAGGATTGAATTATAACTAGAAAAACACATTAATACACTGCTTATTAAAGTGGATGGCACACTATACTTTGCTGTTCCTTGCCAGTTCCTTTGTCACGGGCTGACACATGTACAATACCATTAGCATCAATATCAAATGTAACTTCAATTTGAGGAACCCCACGAGGTGCGGGAGGTATACCAACCAAACTGAATTGTCCTAACATTTTGTTATCGGTAGCCATTTCACGTTCTCCTTGATGAACTTTAATTTCAACTTGAGTTTGTCCGTCAGCAGCTGTGGAAAATACTTGACTTTTCTTGGTGGGGATGGTGGTGTTACGACCAATAAGCCTTGTAAATACGCCTCCTAAAGTTTCTATACCCAGAGATAAAGGTGTAACATCCAATAACAAAACATCCGTTACGTCTCCTGCCAAAACACCACCCTGAATAGCTGCCCCAACGGCTACTGCTTCGTCTGGGTTTACTGAGCGACTAGGCTGTTTGCCGAAAATTTCTTGAACTGTACTTTGAACTTTGGGCATTCTCGTCATACCACCAACAAGGATTACTTCCCCAATCTCAGATTTTGAGACTTCAGCATCTTTAAGTGCTTTCTGACACGGTTGAATAGTTTTTTTGATCAAATCCCCAACCAGACTTTCAAACTTGGAACGAGTAAGTTTGAGATTCATATGCTTTGGACCGGAAGCATCCATTGTTAGATATGGCAAGTTGATATCTGTTTGAAGTGATGAAGACAACTCAATTTTTGCCTTTTCTGCTGCTTCTTTTAGACGCTGCATCGCCATAGGGTCTTTGGTGACATCAACACCTTGATCTCTTTTAAATTCAGAGACCAAATGGTTAACTAGGGTGTTATCAAAATCTTCTCCGCCAAGGAATGTATCGCCATTAGTAGACTTAACTTCAAATACACCTTTTTGAATTTCCAAAATCGATATGTCAAAAGTACCACCGCCCAAATCATAAACTGCAATGCTGAAAAATGGCCCTAGTTTTAGTAATCAAGCAAATGGTTTCAAAAATAAATTTAAATTACATAAATTACATTTAGAACAGTTGATTTGTTTCCAAAGAGTTTTTTTCTTTTTTATAAGAGTTGTAATTGTTTATTTCTCAATAAATAATTCAAAATATTGTTTTATTGTTATTCTTCGTAATCCAACGAATTCACTAATCCAAACAATCTCTACTCGCAATAGTTTTGGATTAACAAGGTCCTACTGTAATAACATACAGGGTGTTTGCAAAAATTAAAAATTTTTGCCATCCAATATTTTTTAACATATTTGATTGTTACATGCCGTTGTATTAGAATAACCAGATCTATGGTTCAAATCTAGGTTTAGCAATAATACTAAATAATATCCAAGTTGTGTTGATAGTCAAAATATACTTTATTGCCAGGTCAGTCAGGCCTAGAATTGACCTCACTTCGAAGAATGGAAGACCTATTCAAAAGAATTTAGTTTATCTGCAAGGTGGTCATAAATCACATGAATTCTGCTCGATCCTACTACTCAAAAAAGAAATAAGACAATAGCTAATGAAGTTAAATGCAATAGGAAATAATGGCACCTTAAATTTTACAGGTACATACATTTTATCCTCAGTTTTATCCATTCCATAAGCCAATGCTGCGGCTGTAGGTTCATTTATCACACGTAAGACATTTAATCCAGAAATCTGACCGGCATCTTTCGTGGCTTGCCTTTGTGAATCATTAAAGTACGCAGGTACAGTAATGACAGCATTCCTCACTTTTGTATTGAGATAAGCATCGGCAGTTTCCTTCATTTTCACCAGAACAAAAGCACCAATTTGACTGGGCGAGTACATCTTACCATCTGAACCTTGGACCCAAGCATCTCCATTAGAAGCCTTCACAATTTTATACGAAAGGGTTTTCCTAAAATTAAAACAGTTACATATCTCATTGATTTATGTAATTGACTCACATATCCTTCTTAACTTCGTCATCCTCAAATCTTCTACCAATTAAGCGCTTGGTCGCGTAAAATGTATTCGCAGAATTCGTAACGGCTTGTCGTTTTGCTGGCATACCTACCAGTCGTTCTCCATCCTTGGAAAATGCAACAGTTGATGGTGTTGTTCGTGAACCTTCAGAGTTTTCGATAACTTTTGCTTGTTTACCTTCCATTACTGCCACACACGAGTTTGTAGTTCCCAAATCAATACCAATAACTGCACCCTTAACACCTTCAGATCTACAAATCCATTTTTGATACCCAATACACGTTTAATGTAAATACTCACTTATTCCGTAACTGGTACTCATATCGACTGGTTATGTATCCTTCAGAAGTGGTCTACAAAGAAAATCAAATTAAAACTTCCAGAATTATGAAGTGATGCAACATTTCAAGGACATCGCCCGGCGCCCCTTTAACCAAAGTTTCTTTTATAAAATCGCAATAATCCGCATTTCTTATACGTCTTTCGTAAAGGAATGCATTAGAACGGCGGCGGAAAAATCACATGTTCGAAAGTTCTGGAAATATACTCACGTTTTTTACAAGTTGTGAAAAATTTCGTTTGGGTGTGAACTTGGAGCATTCGGCCAATTTTCGGCTCAAAATTCTTGCGGCACCGAGCATTTTAATTGAATAATTTAAGTTTTATTAACAAAAATTAAAACTTCACGTGGGTATCCAAATTGACGTGCTGCAGAAAGGAGAACGAAACAATTGATGGTAGTTGCTATTTGGATAAAAAGGAGGCGCTGGGAGAGTTACTGCCAGTGGCGGCGCTAAAGTATGGATCTTTTCCACCGGTTTTATCAATGAATAAAGGTTTCATGCGTCATTGATTATAATAATCAATGGCACGGCGTAGGGCGCTGTGTATTAAGTGCCTTAGCACGGCGTTTTGCGTCGCGCGTTCCAGAACGCGGAACTTGGGGCGTCCTGATTTATCAACTTTGTAGCGTTGAACAGCGAGCTTTTTCGGTTAAGGTATTTTTAGTTTACAGTTTGTTCATATAAGAGTGGCAAGAATTTTTTTGGTGAAATATTTATGTTATGACGAGTATAACCAAAGAGTGGGTATGACCATAAAAGACGTATAAGGAGGGATAATAATATAGGTACATTACACGCTAAAACGAGCAACTTTTACTTTCCCAAAATATTATATGTAAAAGCCGCTTTTACATTAGGCAATTTTAGTGCAATGCAAGCCTTGTGCTATGCAATCTAAAATTGCCTTGCATTGCTTATTACGGTTTTACATTTATGCAATTGTGTTGCAACTTTTGTGCAAGTTCAGAAATGTGTTGCAGTACTGACAACATATTTTTCAAAAATTGAAACTTTTCAGTTTGTTTACACAGAAGGTTATTCTTGAAACTTAATAAAATTGACCATTAGGTATGAGCAAACAAAAGGAAATTAAGCTGGCTACAGCTTGTTATGTGGTGGCGCTTGCTATTAAAAAAAACACACAAAATAACACACGCGAAACCAAATAAATTGTGGTATTGACAAAATTACTAGAAAAGTTACTAGAACTTGCGCCAAACTTGCAAGTGAAATAGAACTTTCTCTATTTATTTTTGTTGCACCTGAATTGCGTATGAACATGCGCAGTAACGTATCTCTAACTTGCATTGCTCTTGCATTGCACGAAAATTGCCTAATGTAAAGCGGCTTTAAGATGGGTATGGTAGGGTCCTGCTCATGACCATTTAGGTATGACAAAAAATAATACCGAAATAGATACTTATCATAAAAAATAATAAACAAGAACAGTAAGAGTGTTACAAGATAATAATATTATACGTTATACACGCTAAAACGAGCAACTTTGACGTTGACACTATTTTGCCCACCACTGTTTTGCAATTAGAAACATTGAGAAAGTGTTTTGTTTAAGTATTTTTTTGAACGCGTCGCTCCATAAATGTTTTGTTATTTTGTGTTATTTAATGTAAGTAGTAATTGTTGCATTTCTTTATATGTCGTATTTGTGTTTTGTATGCCGCATTTTATATTTTTTGTGTGTTTCAATCTTTGATTTTGAAATTTACTTGATTTAACCGCAATGCAGACAGGGCCGTAGCCAGAGGTTTGTTGCTATCAGGGCTTTGATTGTTATAGCCAGGGCGAATTAAAAAAGTGGTGTTTACGGGGCGCTAACTAGGGGAAGGGGGGGGGGGGCAATTTTTTCAAAAGTTCAAGTTCAAGGTCTTTGATTGATTACTTCATTGCTTTTAACAAATTATCGGCCAACAACAGACAATGCAGCAGTATTAAATAGACATTTACATAAAAGTCCGGAAAATGATACATTACTGGCGAGGAAATGTTGAAGTGCGTGGCCCCGAGTACTTTAATTTCCGAGTCAGGTAATGTCATTTTACTAACGAGTTTTGTATTAAAATGTTACCCGAAATTGTATTTTAATATAAAATTTCAATTTTTATATAGAACTTTTGGTCAGAAAAAACTCGTGGTTGATCCATACTCTAAATGGGGTGATGAACCATACAGGAAATAAACAACTCAATTCCTCAAAACCTTCCCCATGGATATTTAATTATTTTATTATTATATTATTTAATTAAATTAAATATCCATGGGGAAGGTTTTAAGGAATTGAGTTGTTTATTTCCTGTATAAAACTTTTGATTAATGTCAATATATCAGTGATGATAGGAGTAATTATAGACATTTAAAAATGTGACGGTGCGACCGGTAAAGTGACAGGTGCGGCCAGTAAAGTGACAAGCGGCAGGAAACGTCGTCTGCTGTGCCTCTGTCATGGAAACTCAAATTTCCTGACAGAAAGTAGGCATGAAAATGAAGATTTCAGGACGAGTTTGGGTAAAGTGTATTATGGCTTGGATTGGATATCATAAGGTTAAGATATTTTAACCGCTTATAGTGATCGGTTATAATTCCTTATACCTCAAGAGTGGATTGTGGGAGAAGGATACTTACAAAGACAAAATAAATGTTTTAAAGAAAATGCGCTTTATCTGCACAAGAGTATTGCACAATTTATCCTTGTTTAGAATTTCATCGCTATTCTCCTGCCAGGGCGAAAATTTTGCCTTCCAGGGCGGCGCCCTGATTCGCCCCCCTCTGGCTACGGCCCTGAATGCAGATTGACATGTTAAATACCGTTATGCTATTGTTTGTAATTGTTTAGGTTTTTGGTGTAATGCTTGCTTAATTTATGTTTATTGATGTTGATTACTTGGTCTTGTCCGTGTAGTAACATTCATATAAGTTTTAATGATTTTATTTTAATATGTGGAAATTACTGATTCGTTTGACTGACTGACTTGTTGTTTGTAACTAACAATTTTCTCCGTGAATGA